TTAGGGTTCAGGGTTTAGGGAGGAGCCAGGGCTTTGGGTTGATCGGGTTTCTCTTATGATGTCACCTTTTCGGGATTTATTGGATCCAGAGCTTCGACCCATAACAGGAGCCTAGTTAAGTTTTTTGTTCTGGGTGGCGACCGTCGCTCTTGCTGCTACTTTCTTAACTTTAGGTGCTTGTGTGTGTTTAGGGTTTAGGGTGCTGGCCTAGATTACACTGCATGCAATCTTTAGCGCCTGGCTGAAGTCAGAAGTCTCGGGTCTAATGGTCTAAAAGACATTTTGGGCCTCCTTCATTGAACCGAAGCCCCAACCCTGAACCCAAATATGCAGCCTGAATACTTAGTAACAGTCTTCTTTCGGCTTTCTTCGTACATTTATAGTCTAGAAACCCTCAAACCGCCAGCCACAAGACCGGAGTATCGAAGGTCCTGAATACCGCGGCTCGGCGTCTCGAACTCTACATGGGTAGTTCTCTGAATTGGGGTCCCTTTTAGGGTCCGTTTTAAAAGAGTGCCGTAGTATATTGGGGATTTAAGCAGGGACCCTGTTTTAGAGAACTATCCACATGCAAAACGCTCCTTTAAAGCAAGGCCTTCTATAAAGCCTGGACAAGCCCTTGCACCACTCGTCTAAACACGAACCCCTGCACCCAAAACCGTAAACCCCAAAACCCTAAACCCAAAACCCTAAACCCATAAACCCCTATACCCAAAACCCTAAACCCCTAAAACCTAAAACCGAAACCCTAAAACCCACAGCCTGAAACCCCGAAGCCAGGCCATCCAGGCCTTCACGGGGAAGCCGACCCTGAAGGCGGTTTTTTCTGGTGTGGGCAGTGCTCTACCCAGAGAACCCAACTTGGTGTTCTTCTGCTTGGCTCTTAGGACTTTAACTTTTGGGGTTTCTATATGAACCATCGTAAGGAGACTACAAGTTTAACTTTCAGGAGGGGTTCAGAAGTCAGCCAAGCCAATACCCCTTAATTAGGGAATATACCTTAAACTATAGGGGCCTTCATATTATGGTTTAAGGTAGATTCCTTAATTAAGGGGTATTGGGTTCCTTGGGTAATGCAGATTCCCCTTCCCAAGGGTTCACGTTACAGGGTTTCCGCGAGGTTTGCGGATGTCCCTCAGGTTCGGTTTTGCCGGGTTGGTTCAGGGTGCTGTGAGCGTACTATAAGGATTTGTAAGGGTTTCAGAGGGATCTAGGTGCCCCAGTAGTATGCTTTTATGCCATTTTTGGTGGGCTTGACGACAGTGAAGAGTCTACCCACGCTATTAAAGGAAGCTAGTCAGGGTCCCTGTTTGGATTCCCAACATAAGGCGCCTCCCCCACAAGGACTCTCAGTCAACAAACCTCTAAGTATCTGTCGCTAGGTTCCTGAGTACGACCTTTTTGCCCTTTTTGTTGTATGGCTTCCTTAATAAAAATGCAGAACAAGAAAGAAAGGGTACCATTATTATTTAGGTGTCACTCAGAAACCTAGGTCAAGAGCAGTGCTTGTTGAGAACAACCACAGCGAAAGTGAAGCTACGGATTATGACTATAACGACAAATTCGGTCGCAGTGATGATGATGATCCTGCTGTTGCTGCTGTTACTCTCGGTGGTGTTAGTGCCAGTTAAGCGGAACATGCATGGTGTTGCAAACAGCCGCAAACATGAGAAAGCTAGTTCTGTGACTGAAAGAATGACTACAGTAACTACAGCAGGCTCATCGTTGTTTAAGGTATAGGGCTTCAGGGTTTAGGTCATTGCAGTAACTGCCCGGCTACCCGTCTGATGAGCGTGGGGGCAGCTCCCTGAAATCTTAAACGCAGATTCTATGCCCTTATGCCCTAAGCTCCAAACCATAAATGCCTATGCCAACACGAACCGCGATACAGTTTGCCAGCAGCCGGGGTCTCAAACCCTTCAGAAAGAATCCGAAACCCTGAACCTGGAGTTAAACCCAGAGACTCCAATACCCCTTAATTAAGGAGTATACCTTAAATCTTATTGGGGATCCTACTATAATTTAAGGAATATTCCTTAATTAAGGGGTAATGGAGTCTCTGGGCCCGAGACCCGAGGCCCTCACCCTTACACAGGTCCTTTCCATCAAGAAGCAGGAGGTGATCTTTACCACTGCAGAGCTTGGAAAGCTGAACAAGCAGCTGCAGCAGGCCCCGGATGGCAAAACTTTGTGTGTTGAAGCTTTTGATTATGAAATTATGATTCATGATGACAAAGGTGGCAGTGATGATGATGGTGATGGTGACGGCGACGATGGTGATGATGGCGACGATGGTGATGATGATGGTGATGGTGATGGTGGTGGTGATAACGGTGATGTGATGATGGTGATGATGGCTACCATGGTGATGATGGCGATGGTGATTGTGATGATAGCGCAGAGGGCGTAGATGGTGACGTTGACGACAATGACGAGCAAAAAGAAGCATCACACAGGATGGGGAAGTTGATAACGGTGATGCGACGTCTTCCTCTTCACAAAAATCAGCAGCATCGTCGTCGTCATCTTCATCAACAGCATTATCACCATCAACATCATCATCACCACGTGTGCCTTCATCTGTACGATGACGTCGGCATGGTGATCACCATCTTCGTCATGACCATCATCATCATCACCACCACCACTAGCAGCACGACCTTGCTCACAAGCGTTTTCTGCAATCCTTTCCCGGCAGGGGCGATTAGGCTTGTTTTGTTGGCGATGATGACGCCGATGAGGAAGGTGAGTATGATCATGATGGCATGGTGAGAATCATACACTGTTACTGATGATGATGATGATGATGATGATGGATGGTGATCGTCATGGCGATGGTGATGATAGTGATGGTGACGATGATCGTGATGATGATGATGATGATGATGATTACGGCGACGCTGCTCATCATGATGGTGTTCTTGGCGATGACAAGCATGGCAATATATGAAGTCGGTGCTCATGGTATCGGTCACGGCCTTGGTAATTGGGACGGCAATGGTTCTGATGGCAATGGTATGGCACTGCTCATGATGCTGGCGATGGTGATTATAAAAGCCATGACGGTGGATGATCAAGAAGATCATGGCGACCGTCTTCATTATTGCCCGCCCAGTTGTTTGTCTATTTCGTGTTTTGCGGACTTGCCGGTTCTGTGTTCCACTCCCTTGCCCAATCCCGTGTAGGTTTTTTCTGGCTTTTCCAGCGTGTGCCTCGAACCTGTGAACCCAAACCGAAGCTCGAGGCAGTGGACGACTATCAGAAACAGACCGATGCGCCCCAGCCTCAGCAACAGCTGCTACGGCAATGGCCACCTATGTAGGCTTGATTGCAACCCCGACGATCACTACTTGTACCACGACGACGATGACGAGGAATACTAGTGCTACTACACCACCTACCAGGAAGAAGATAGTATGAACACAGGTCTCATAACATCAACCACCGGCAACTCTGCAAAGTACAGTGGCCACTCCAAAAAGTGAAGCCCGAAGCCAAAACCCCGGAAAAAAAGCAGAAGCCCTAAAGCCAAGATGGTCTTCATCCAAACACATGCCAAGGCTCGTCAGCAAAGCGCTGAAGGTGGCGTCAACCTACTGTTCCGTGGTGGAGCGGCTTGCGGGAAGCCAAGGGGGCTCATTGGGATGCTCGAGCTTTCGCATTCGGCTTCATTCAGAGCCCTAATTAGGAACACAAAAAGGACATAAGCATAAGCATTTTATAGGGATATCCCTACCTTATTGGGCTTCATTATAAGGGGGTTTATATGGGATATCCCTATCCTAATTTTTGCTTGTGTGCTTTATTCAGAGCCCTAAACCCGAAACCCTAAACCCTTCGTTTCTCGGGGTGTCAAGGTTCAGGGTCGTAAAAGTTTGCAGGTTTGGGTTGTGGCCTGTCTTGGCGGGAGTTCGCCAGGGTTTCGGGTCTAATATAAGTGCCTAAATAATTACCTATACTATTTTGGGGGGGCTCCCTAATATGATTATACTATAATATACCCCAAACCCCTATTCTAATTATTAAGGCCCCTAAACCCTAAAGCCTGAGCCCTAAAACCCCACTCTAATTGTTAAGGCCCCCAAACCCTAAACCCCAAACCCTAAACCCTAAACCCAATTCTACTTATTCAGGCCCCTGCATTAGGCCCGAACTGAAAGACCTCAGGACGCAACTGGGGTCCGAGTCCTTGACCCAGAGACTTTAAGGAATATACCTTAAATCATATTAGAAACCCAATTATTATTCAAGGTATATGCCTTAATTAAGGAATATACCTTAAATCATATTAGGGATCCTATTATACTTTAAGGTACATTCCTTAATTAAGGGGTCCGAGTCCTTGAGTTTCGCTAGTTTTCTGTCTGGTGGTGCTTAGTATCGAATGCGGGAACGGATCCGTATGATAGCCCCTGCAGGTCCCTCCCTATAACCCATTAAACCTTAAACCCTACACTACACCCTCTAAACCCTAAACCCTAAACCCTCTTCTTGATCTTTCCACCTGTCTTTGCAGCATGGGCGGCTCGCAACAAGATCCCCTGATAGTGCATACATATACTTATCGTATCACAGACCCCAAAGCCCTAATATAGGGGCCTTAATCAATAGAATAGGGTTTTGGGGGGTTCCTTAATGTAATTATGACATATGTAATATGCCCAAACCATATTCTAATTATAAATGCCCCTATGTTATACTTATCGTATCACAGACCCCAAAGCCCTATTCTAGTTATCAAGGCCCCTATACATTGCGTAGAGGTTTCTTTGCTTAAAACGCTAAAGCCAGCCCTAGACCTTAAACCCTAAACCCTATATCGCTGAAGGCCAACATGGCCGGTGCCTGCTTGGAGAAAGGGGCGTATTTCAACTTAAAAAAACCCTAAACCCTAAACCCTTATATCGTAAAACCCTAAAGCCTGCTTCAGTCTTAGGCCGACGTCCTCGCCGACCTGGACGTCTTCGCTGCTCTTGCGCGCACGGCCCTGGCAGCGCTGCGTGCCCAGCTGGGTTTGGGATTTTGGGGTTTAGGGCTTTAGGGTTTGGGGTTAAGGGTTTAGGGTTTAGGGTTTAGGGTTTAGGGTGGTCTTTGGGGGAATACAGAGGCCGGAACTCAAGTAACACATGGTTCGGGGGCACATTCGGCCAGACCATGTATTGCAGGTTGTCACGTGGCGAATTCCAGGGAGCGCGGGCTTCCCTACTACTGCTAGTCGGAGTTTGGGGTGTTCTTTACAGGCAGTATAGGGGCCTTAATAATTACCTCTACATTTTTTGGGGGGCTCCTTGTTACAACTATAGTGTTATATACCCCCAAACCCCAAAGTAAGAAGTCTGACTCAGATTGGACCTCCTTAACCCTTAGCTTCAAAACCCCTAAACCCTACCCCTAAACCTTAAACCCTAAACCCTAAACCCTAAACCCTAAACCCTAAACCCTAAACCCTACCCCTAAACCTTAAACCCTTCAGCTCTAACCCTTACCTGCAACCCAGCCCCTAGCGGCTCGCGCTTTGGTGTGTTTCCCTCTGCTCGCGCAACGTAACGAATGAAGGTTTAGGGTTTGGGGTTTAGGGATTAGGGTTTAGGGATTAGTGTTTCGGTTTAGGGTTTAGGGTTTAGAGTGCCCAACGTCACGAATTGAGCTTTGCGAGCTTCGCCGGGTTCCCGGGGCGACCGATGTGGGGTTGAGGGTGTAGAGGGTTACAGGGTCCTTTTTGAGGGTTTAGGGGTTAGGGCTGAGGGTTACCTTGAAGGAACCCAAACCCCTCAACCCTAAACCCTAAACCCTGAACCCTAAACCCTAAACCCTAAACCCTAAACCCAAACCCCTCAACCCACAACTGGAGCCCGAACCCGAAAAACTTTTCCCCGGAACCCTCAACCCATTGGACTGTAGGTCTGAACCCGAAACGCCTAAACCCTACAGAAGCCCCAAAACCCTAAACCCTAAAGAAACCACAGAACCCCAAACCCCAAAGAAACCCCAGAACCCTAAACCCTATATCCTAGGCCCTGCACCTTCGTGCGTGCGGAGGTAGACGAGACAGGCCAGCAAAGTTCAGGGAACGGATCTTCGAGATGTCGATCCTTCGTAGTACCCTTAGGGTTTAGGGTTTAGGGTGTAGGGTTTAGGGTTTAGTGTTTAGGGTTTAGGGTGTAGACTTAGTTCTCCAATACCCAACCTTTAAAGTTTTTGGGGTCTCATAACTTAGTAGCAATCTGAAGTTTAACCTTTTGTTTCCCTGGCTTATTTGGAAGTACTAGAATAGGTATTAGGCTTAGAGTCTAAAGAACTTAAGGTAGGTGTAGAGTAGGTATCCCTCAGCATGCTTCGGGGGGTACTACAAAGCCTCTACGATCCCAAAGGTTATAACCTTCAGCTCCCCCAAAAGCACTGGACAACTGAGGATCTTAATTACCTCTATTTTTTTGGGGGGGGGAGGGGGGGGGGGGTCCTTATTACAAATTATAATTCAATCCCCAAAAACCCTGTTCTCATTACGAAGGCCCCTACATTAGGGTTGCGGGCTTCCGGTCCTTGGGGGGATTAGGGTGTCGGGTGTTGGGGGGTGAGGGTTTTGGGGATCTTGCCTTCGGGTCTGGGAGTTGGGGTTTTGGGTTGTGGGGTTTAGGGTTTAGGGCTTTGGGGGATTACCCTAAACCCTAAACCCTAAACCCTAAACCCTAAACCCTAAACCCTAAACCCTAAACCCTAAACCCTGAGGTGAGGGTTAAGGATTCAGGGTTTTAGGGATCCGGGGGATTCGCTGCGTTTTCGCTCCCAGGGTCTCAGGGTGCCGCGTTCTAAGGTTTCGGGGTTTAGGGTTTAGGGTTTAGGGTTTAGGGTTTCGGGGTTTGGGATTTAGGGGTTTAGGAGTTTAGGGGTCTAGGGGTTTAGGGTCTGGAGATTCCAGGGTAGGTCCTTGGACCGAAACCAGATTTCAAGGATGTCTGATGATATGGAAGCATGCACATGTGGTGTTGAGTTCAGGACTTGGCAGCGTCTTGATTTGTGGCTTGTATTACTTGCTTTAACTAACAATTTCGGAGCTGTGAACGTTTTTAATTAAGAGCACAGTTCTACGGTCATTGCGTCAGCGGCCATGATATAACATGCCACGGAACCTAGGACAAGGCATGCCGATCGAGAGAATCGCATCAGACCAGCACATGATCATCAGAATCGCAACATAACGAATGATTGTGTCGGTCTTGACGTTTACGTTGGCGCAGCCCCACCCGGCTGCAGTGTTTCTCTGAGAGCTTGCCTTGGCACCTCCAAAGTTGAGGACCTAGGATTAGGGCTTAGACTCCGCAAGCAAGAATCCGTGAAGGCAGGAACTAATCTCAAGCTGCCATAGCCCTCCAAGCCCTAAACCGAAAACCCCAAAGTCCCCTAAACCCAACCCAGAATCCCCTAAACCCCAAACCCCAAGCCTTTGTGAACCCTACGTAGCTAGACCTCCTACCAGGCATGTCCTTCATGTCTAAACTGGGGGACGATTGAGAAAGAAACACCGGCACGAGTCTTCTAAGACGAAAGCCGAAACCCAAAACCATGACCCAGAGAGGCCAATATCTTCAAATGAAGGATTCTGCTCCAAATTCACCACTAGGTGGCACACGGGGATATTTCAATTCCCCCATATGGGGCCTATAAATGTACCTATTCATACGTACTTTTAAGGGCCCCAACACTACCCAGACCAATACTAGGACCCGGAGTAGGCCCTTATTTCCTTTTTTAGGGTTGGGGCTCCCTTATAATCCNNAACCAAAAAGGGCACCCTTTTCATTCCTAGGGTACTCCTGGGTCTAGAATAGATAGCTTTTTGAAGATTCGGGTCTCTTCCTTCAGCCGGGATTGTTGAGCCTCTCTGGGCCCCTGGGTTTAGGGATTAGGGTTAATGGGGGGTTTAGGGTGTAGGGTTTTAGGGTTTAGGGTTTTGGGGATTAGGGTTTAGGGGATTTAAAAGTTTAGGGTTTAGCGTTTAGGGTCCCCTCCAGCATCCCTGAAAGCTGAGGTAAAGACTACGTCATTGATGGCGCTGTGCATGTGCTGGTGGTCGCGAACTCCCAGCGCCTTCGGCTGCGTTGTAAAGAGTCTTAAATGTTAGACGGTCAGGAATCTTAGGAAGCAGGCAACATCTCGATAAGTTCGGGTAAATTGGGATATACCTGAAAAGCACTGCTTGTATTCACATAGATATACATATATGTATATATTTAGGTGTATGTGCACGTACATACATACGTATACATACATACACACATACATACTTATATTTGCATGGACACCTACGTACACACATATACACACCATGCATACATACATACATACATACATACATACATACATACATACATACATACATACATGACCCTACTGTTAAATATTGAAACCTGCTCGCCTAGTCAACTGATCCTCCAAGTAAACAGCCTTGGGGAGACTTTGAGACCCGGGCCCCAACCCAGAACACGAAAGCCGCAGAGCCCTGAGTACCCGTATTCTTGGGGTTGCGCCCTACATATACCCAAACCCCCAAAAGGATCTAAAAAATAGATCCCCTAAGGGGGTTCCTATAAAGTACCCTTTAGTAGTTAGGGTCCCTAATTAGGGCATCTGTTTTTAGATCCTTTTGGGGGTCTGGGTAGGCCCCATAGTAGTTCCTTTTCTGGCTTATATTTAGGATCCTATTAGGTAATCCCAAAAGGAACACTTTGGGGCCTATGGGTACTAGTATTGAGGCTCCCAGTTTACCCTAAACCCTTTCAAGGGACATCTGCCACCGAACACGTTTCGAAGCTTCGACGTCGACGTTCTTGTAAGCCAGGCAGAGCTACGTCGCGAACGATTTGGACATGCACCGGGATACGCAGGGGCTCCGAGTCTTTGGTTAAGGGTTCAGGGTTTAAGGTTTAGGGTTCAGGGTTTAGGGTTTGGGGTTTAGTTAGAATAATGTAGGGCCCTTAAGAATCAGAATAAGGTTTTGGGGCCCATTATACTATAACTATACTAAGGAACCCCAAAAATAGTATTGGTAATTATTAAGGTCCCTACATTCAGGTAGGCCTGCGGGGTTTTAGGTTTAGGGTTTTGTGAGTTTAAGAATAACTAGGAATGTTATTCGGCAGCGTTCCTTATTCCAATTGGAAGTGTTATTATAAAATACCGCAGCACACTGCTCTAGTTATTATGGGACGCGTACTACTATATATGTCAATGGTTCAGGGGATGGGGCACCTGAGCCCCTTAAAGCTTGTGTCGGCGCATGCCAAGGATTCCGAGTGATTTCAACGGCTGCGAGTGTTTATCCACTGGGGATTCCGAACTGAGAATAGAAATCATCCTCACCGGTATCGACGTCGTCATTTGGACCCCGTTAACACCATCTTCATCATCATCATCATCGCCATAGTCGCATTATCCGCCGTAAACATCAGCATCATTTTGGAATCGTGATATCAGTCATTGTTGTCCGAGACCCTAAACGTTAGGGGGCTATCCTGTGTCCCTCAACCCTAAACCCTAAACGTCAGAGCCCTTAACATCCCTTAACTCTAAACCCTAAACCCAAACTCTTAACCTTGAAACCCTACACCCTAGAGCTTTTAATTTTGGAGGCGATTCGTCTGCGAGTCCCGGTGCTGTGCATTTTCCGCAACAGCATTCACGGTTTAGGGTTTAGGGTTTAGGGCTTAGGGTTTAGGGTTTAGTCTAGTATTTAGGGGGACGTGGTTCGGGAGCTCTTGGCGGAGCTCCTGAAACCTTTGATCATGGACCCCAACGGATGTCAGATTCTACGGGGCTGCGACGACGGAGGCCGAAACTCGGTTTGGCTTAAGAGGTCTTCCGGCACACTTGGAGGATCATGGGACTTCGTAAGTAGGGTTATAATTAGGGTAGCTATACTTATAACCCCAATGAAGGATCTTATAACCTTACTTACTAAGTACCATGATTCTCCAAGTATCTCATCCCTAAACCCTAAACCCTGAACCCTAAATCCAAACCCTAAACCCTAAACCCTAAACCCTAAACCCTAAACCTTACGTACGAAGTCCCATGATCCTCCAAGTAATGCACCAGCTCCTGCTGCGCCCAGACCGGAGACTGGCAATCCGGAACCTTGGAAGCTCGGGGGGTCGGTAGCATGGCTGCGTTGATGACACCGTTGAGCACTTTTTTGTAGTTTGGTTTAGGGGTTTAGGGTTTAGGGTTTAGGGTTTTAGGGTTTAGGGTTTAGGGTTTAGGGTTTTAGGGTTTAGGGTTTGTGTTCCTGGCATGGTTGAACTGATGACACTGTTGCACTTCTTTGTAGTTTGGGACTGGCAATCCAGGATTTCTCATTTACGTTGAAGCTCTTGGTGTTGCGAAGAGTCCCTAAGCGGTGAACCCTGAACCCTATACCCCAATAAACCCTAAAACCCTAAACCCTAAACCCTAAACCCTAAACCCTAAACCCTAAACCCTAAACCCTAATCCTAAACCCCGAACCCTTTGCCGGAGGTCCCGTTTACATCTCATTACGGGGCCGAACATGGGCGGCAAGAGCACTTACATCAGGCTGGAACGCGCGGGGCTTTGGGGTTTAGGGGTTTAGGATTTAGGGGTTTGAGGGTTGAAGGGTTTAGGGTTTAGGGTCTTGAGGGTTTAAAGGGTTTAGGGCTTAGGATTTAGGGTTTGAGGGCTTTGGATTGAGGGTTGAGGGTTGAAGGGTTTAGGGTTTGAGGGCTTAGGGGTTCAGGATTTAGGGTTTAGGTTCTAAACCCTAAACCCTAAACCCTAAACCCTAAACCGGGTTTAAGGGTTTAGGGGTCTCGAGTCCCAGACGGGAGGATCCAAAAGGAGATCCCCTACAGGGCTCTTCCAAGGGTTCCCTTAAGGGTTCTACGAGATACTGTCCCCACTCAGTAACAGTTGACTAAATTAAACAAAACTTATGATATAGGCTTACAAGGCCCTGAACTGTAGCCCTCTTATGGACTGTTACTGTCTGAGGAGCAATACCCAGTCTTTAGGGCCTGTGATACCATAAGGCTGAAGGGGCACGCCATAGGGTGATGGTGTTACTAAGTATTCAGTCCCCCGTTCTCGGCTTTTTTTTCATGGCTTTGGGGATTCGCGCGGAGGGTTCAAGGGCGAGGTTTTAGGGTTGTTGGACTTTACCAGTTTCTGCCCGAAAGCTGCTGCATCAGTTCTTATTGGCATCGAAACAAGATCCTAGGGTGGGTGTGCATATCCTTACGGACCACATGATCCTTAATAGTAGCCGCCCGCTACCCCTGTACTCTGGATCCCTCTTTTGTACTTCAACCATTTCAGAGTATATTTCCTGTTCAGCTGGTTTGGTTTTAAGGAACTTAAATTAAGTTCCCACAATGGGGATATATATAGTATTTAAATAGAAGGGTTTCTTTCGTTTAGTAACTCAGTTTAAGTTCCCTAACAGCAACCCAGCTGGTGTTGGGCAGTCATTCGAATCTGAGGGTTCTGATGGGAACTCGTGTTGTCGAGGCAACATCCCTCAATCTTGCAATAGGTCGATCCACCCCTGCTCCCGATTCTAAGTTCCAAGAGACTCCAGTATCCTTTATTAACCCCTAAACCCTAAACCCCTAAACCCTAAACCCCTTTGATGAAGAGCTGTTTGGAAAGCCTTACTTAAAATGGGAGTTTCCGAAAATAAGGGGTACCTGATATTGGGGTCCTTATAATAAGGATCCTACTATTTAGGGTTATTAGGGTCCCCCTATTTTCTAAAGCTCCAAATTCCGCTTCGAACTCTTTGCTCAAGGCAGTTTCGAGTCCTCGGGTTCCCTTCAAAGCCATGGCAGCCGTAGATCCGCAGCCGCCCATGGGCCCTGTGACCATGGAGGAGCTCGACGTCGAGGGGCCGCTTAGGGTTTAGGGCCGATTGGGGTTGAGGGTTTAGGGTTTAGGGCTTTAGGGTTTAGGGCTTCAGGGTTTGCGCTTTAGGGTTTAGGGCTTTAGGGTTTAGGGCTTAGGGTTTAGGGTTTAGGATTTAGGGTAAGGGTCGTGGTCTCTTTGTTGCTTTTCCTGTGGTGGGTGATGGTTTCTTGTGCAGCACCTATTTTAGGGATCTTCAAGAACAGTAGCTGATTGCCTCAGGGGAATCAGCTTCAGGGTTTATGGGTTTATATTCTGCCGTTTAGGGCTTGGGGTCTAACGTCTCGAGTTTAGGGTTCAGGGTCTCGGGACCCGTTGAAGCATTGTTCGCTAGGGCTCCTTATCAGGAATACACCACAGTATACCCCCAAAACCCTAGTCTCGTGAGCTCCGCGCACATTGCGATGTGCTGGGTTTAGGAATCTGCGGTAGACCCCGAACCCTCCGCATTCGGGTTCGCAACCTTGGACTGCAGCCTGCGTGTGGAGCCAGGGTTTCGGCTGGTTCGGACTCTAATTATGCACTTTCTGCTTGTTCATTTAGATTTCTGGACTTGCTCATAGAAAGATAGCCCTAAGCCCTTAAACGTTGCAACCTAAGCCCCAAAAACCCTAAACCCCAAACCTTACTTGCAAATTTGCAATTTCCAAAAGTAGTAGCAGGAGCCACCATCGCAAGACCATGCCCTCTTGGAAGGAGTTCTGTCGGAACCGTGGGTAGAGCAAAAAAACCTCTCTTCGAGTCACCTCGGTAAGTGAGCCAACGTCGGCGAAAGGTTTGCTGTTCAGGGTTTAGGGTTTAGGGTGTAGGGTTTAGGGTTTAGGGTGTAGGGTTTAGGGTTTAGGGTTTAGGGTTTAGGGGTTTAGGCTTTAGGGGTGTGGGGGAATTATGTTTCATGGTGGTGAGGTTTGGGGTGGTTTTTTTTCGCATTTCCGCTGCCGCAGGCCGCGGCGTGATCAACCCTAAATCTAGGAGATTTTCAGGTGGGTAGTTACGGCTGTAGGAGTCTTATAGAAGGTCTATATACCTTATGGGAGCCTTATAGAAGCCCAATATACCTTAAAGCCCTAAAGCCCTAAACTCCCCTATATATACCCTAAACTCCCCAGCTGTAGCTTCCTTTAACTAAATTCCAGGTAGTTTCGTTTCTCCTCAAGGTTTCTGCGCTGCGTCCCGCTAGCATTTGGCTCCAAGCTAGCCTGCCGCTTAGGGTTTAGGGTTTTAGGGTTTAGGGTTTAGGGTTTAGGGTTTAGGGTTTAGCCTGGATCCAAAAAATTTCGGAGTCCCTCACTAAATATAAAGCCTCTAAGCCGTGAGGCAGAGGAAACCCCGAAAAAAACCCGCGACGCGAAACTCTAAGGGATTCTGGGAGAGGACCGAAACCCTGAGCCAGCAATGCCGAATCGCAACTGTTACCTCGCTGTGGCGCTTGACGACAAGAGCCTGGAGTCCCTCGGGGAGGCCGATTAGGGTTTAGGGGTTTACGGGTTTAGGGTTTAGGGCTTTAGGGGTTTAGGGTTTGATCGCTTGCACTATGCGGTTTATGATTTTGGTTGGGGTTTTATGAAGGGCATGATGTTAGCATCCCGACTATCGGGGAGAGCTATATCTTGATCGCGGTCTATATTTGCCAGAAAGCTCTTAAACCCTAAACTCAAATACCGGAAGGGTTTTCGTTGTAACTCTCTGAGGTGCCGAATTCTCGAAAGTTAGCCTCGGGCTTCCGGCACTAGGCTGCCCAGGGCGCTTTATGATTCCTTCGGGCTCCCAAGTCATATGGGTAGTTCTCTAAATTAGGGCCCCTTTTAGGGTTCCTTTTATGAGGGTGCCGTACTATATTGGGGACCTAAAGTGGGACCCTAATTTACGAAACTACCCATATTGAAATCGAGTATATCCCGAAACCTGTCTGGTCTAATTCTCCAGGCCCCTGTACAGCAAGGGTTGTGTTGCTTTGGGGGGGTT